TAAGGTTTGACTATAGATTAAACTTATTAAATTTAAGGATTAAGAACTAAGAACCTAAAACTAAGAACTACTTTTTAAAAATTAGGCCATTCCACTCTTTTCATAAAAAATTAGTAGTAAAAAGAACATATACAAAACAAAGACTCTTTTCTTTGTTTTTATCAAATTTAATCTTAATTAGTTTAATCTTTAATTTTTTTATAGACATCAGATAAAAAGAATTATATTTGGTTATACTATGCTTAGCCATTCTGCAAGCAAATAGAATAAGACTCACATAATCATTTTAGTTTTTCTAATACTAACTTACACACTTTGTTAGCACCTTACAGATGGTTCAATTGAACTGTTCAACAAGACTGTTGGTTTTAGAGTAATACATAGATAAGAATTTGTACTTGATACTAGTCTTATTACAGTTCTTCTCTATAACATAGTTCTTAAAATAGATCTCTTGGTCCATCAAAATTTGTTGAGAACAGTTATATAAGCAACAATGTCTTCTAATACAAAGGCAGCAACAGACTCTGCCATACAGTCAGATAGTGCTTGAACCTTAGTTTGTTTTATTAAATACTCTATTGTTGTCACCAGGTACCTGTTACTGTTTCTTGTAAGAGGCAAAGGCTCTACTATGTTCATTCTTACTTGGTCAAAGGGTTGTATCACCTGTATCAGGTGTAATACTTCTTTTGTTTTTAGTTTTCTGTGATGTTAATAGGCATCACAACTCAGTATATAACTCTTGATATTTTTTATCATTTGACTCCAATAGTACAGCCTTTATGCCTTCTCTATAGTTGCTACTTCACTTAAGTGGCCAGATGCTAGATCATCATATAAAGCTTTCAGCACTATCTCTACTTCATTATGCTTTAATACTCTTAGAAGTTGATTAGACTCTAGATGGTTTTTATAATATAGCACTTCTTTTTTACACAATATAATATCTAAACTAATTTTTCAGCTTTCAATTTTGTTACTTTGTGTATTCTTCTGGCAGTTCTAACTTGGTTAAATATTGAATCAGGTTAGTATAATTTTTAGATTCCATTTCAGAAGTCTGTTTGGCTTGTCGAATAAATTTTTTTTTTTTAAATAATGCTCAAATAAAAACTTTATTATATATAGAAACATAAGTTTTAAATTTAAAAATTTCTAAACACATTTGTGCTACAATTAGGCACCCAATATGATATTACACTCTTATTTTTTATAAGTGCTATAGCTAACTATTTCAAATTAAGTTCTAGCTAGAATAGATTAAAGAAAACCTTCAAATAATTGTCTAAATATTAAATTATACAAGTTGTTAGAGAATAATTTTGTAAGAACCATTTTGTAATTAAAGGTTTAATATTTATAGGTTAGGAAAGAGTTTTAGTATTGTTTAAAGAATTGGGTAGAGTTAGTAGACTAATTTTGATATGTTTGAACTTTGATGTGATGTTGTGAGAGTTTTTCTATTGATGTTAATATATATTATAAGTAGACCAAAGATCTTTGTAATACAAGTTAAGTAAATTATTTAAGAGGTAGAGTAGAAAAGTATCTGTCTGTTTATTGATAAGTGTTTTGATGTTCTTATATATAGTAGTAGAATAAGTTCCAGTAATAGTATATAAAATATATTTGTATTGAGAATTTGAGAAGTAAAATATAAAATTTAGAAGAATATTTAATAGAGTTATTGAGGTTGTATTAGTAATTTGAAGTGATTGAAGATTGTCATGTATAATGTTTTTAAGTGATTGTAGAATATTTGTTGTATTGCTAGGATATAAGTACAAGTAAAGAGTATTTTCAATATTTGTGCAGCAGAAGCAATAAGGTATAGTATAAAGATAAGAATAGTAAATATTAAGGTTTTGCATAATAAGTAAGTTATTGGTGAGAATTTTAATATGAAAGGAATATTTTTGTGAGTTATCTTCAAAAGAAGAGATGATTTTAAATAGAAAAGACTATTTAATATTGGTAATATTTTAAAAAAATTTTAAATTTGACTATTTGACAATTTCTTAAATAGTTATAATGTTTTTAATAAAGGTGTGAACTTTAAAAGGAATTAGAAGATTGTTTCATAAGAAATAATTTAATGTATTAAATTTTGAAATATTGAGCTTAATAATAAATTTTATAGTTTCTTGTTTAGCAAATGAATTTGCTTGATTGTAAAATAAGTCTGTAGAATGTAATTTGACTTTATGAAAGGTAGTAGTAATGTTTTTAAAACAGTTAAGATAATTAATATAGTAGATGATATTTCAGTTTTTAGTTTGTATAAATTTTAAAATAATAGATTATTTAAAATTTTTAATAGTAATTATGTTATTGATATAGATATTTAAAGAAATATTAGATGAAGCTACAAATAAAAAATAAAGAACTGCTTCAAGTTTAGTGCAGGTTGATTCAGAATAAGATTGTATAGCTGCATTAAATTTTATTGATATATTGTATTTGCAAATCTATTTTATATCAGATTTTACATCTGGAGTTTGAAGATTTTTAATTGATCTATCAATATAAAAATGTAGTATATTTGTATAAAGTTGAAAATAAGATTGTTAAAATCAGTTAATTGTTTTTGATATATTAATAAATAAATTGTTGGATAAGTTGAGCATCATAGAATGATAAAATTATTTGTGATTGTAATAAAAAAGGTGGTTGAGAGAAAGTAGAATTATATATATTGATTAAAGCTAGAATTTCTTTAAAATCAATTTGAATAATTGTTTGATTATTTGATTTGTTAGTTAGATTATAAGGTAAATAAAAGAAATAATAGTTTGGTATAAACTAATTAGAAGTTGAAAGAATCTGTAAAAGACCTAAAGTAGATAAAAAATTTTAAAAAAAGAAAGTTGTTAAAAAGTGGTTTGATAAGAGATATAAAATAGTTAATTATTTGTATAATAAAGTTAATAAAAGAAAAAAAAGTTTGAGAATGAATTTGGTAATATTAATTTAGTTGTATTAAAAAAAAGATTTATAGAAGGTAGATTTAGAGTAAGCCAAGTTAGATTAATAGAATTAGTTTAGTTTAGTTATAGAATTTGAGTAAACTATTGTAGTTGATAACCTTTAGTTAGTTTATTTGTATATAAATATACATTGTTTTATGAGAGAATATTTTTGTTATCTGCAGTTGTAATTTGTTCTAAGAAGATAATTTTGTTATTTTTAACACTATTAATAGTAGTAATAGATAGGTTAAGAAGAAGAATATTATAAATAGTATAAGAGTTTTTTGGTATTAATGAAAGGTAAAATAGTAAAGAACCAGAATGTAATGGCCAGATCCAACTTACAGAACAGGCTATAATATTCTCTATAGCTGTACAAGCTGAGCCTAAAATAGTAAATGATTTTATAGAAGACATTACAAATACTATCTCTACTTCTAATGCTTCAACACCTATAAAGATAAACAAATATTATAAGAAATTCTTAAAATATTACAAACTATCTCAAATACCAGAACCTGTTACACTTATCAAATTTATTTAACATCTACATCAAAATTTTTTTCTTAATCTAATTAAAATAACTATAAACTTTATAAAAACTGAAGCATATGTTTATCTAAATATTATTGAATCAACAAGACCAAATTATATTATATTAGACTCTTTTCTCTATAAAACACATGGCCATCTACCCTTATTAACTATTTCAAACTGGAAAATACATAATATAAACTCTATCTCTTTTACTAAGTCTGATCAATTAATTATCTAATTCAATTACTATAATATCATCTTTGAACACTTCACCAATAATTACAACTAAACATATCACCTTTTCAACTAAAACTAACCCAACAAGCACAAATGAACTAGAAGTTTCAAATAATATAAAATCAATTAAAATATATTTACTTAATGTCAATAGTCTTCTAGACAATTATAAACAATTAAGTTTAATTGACTATATTTTAGAAAATCAAATAAACATCTTTGGAATATCAGAAACATATTTATCCATTAAAGAAGCAAAATTTTCAACACTCTCACAAAAACTCATAAATTATAAAAGCTTCTGGATACCAAGCAATGTTTGCCAAAGTGGTGTAAAAATTTTAATTCACAAATTACTCACTAAACATATTAGAAAAAGTTAAACTTACAAAAAGTTTCTTATAGAAATTAATATTTTTCTTAAAAATCTTTATGTTAAGCTAATTCAAATTTATTTTCCAACTCAAGAAAAAAACAACTTTGAAAAGATATCCTTTTATATTTTACTTCTATTCTTATCTAGTGTTCCAATCCAGATCAATCTGTTATCCATTTATCTGATATAATATATCTGAATATCCATCTATTTAAGCTTGGATATCCGAAAAGATTGTCCAAATTAGCTGTTATATGAAATGTGATAAAATCGAATTTATCATGTTTGTACTATGATTTTATGTGAGTAATTTGAGAATATCACATGACAAATTCGAATTATTCACGTAGAATCATAGTACAAAAGCGATAAATTCGATTTTATCACATGATATTCTCGAATTAATCACATGTAATTTTATGCAAGGTGAGTATTTAACATTAACGTTAAATTAGATTATCACTATACATATACATAATCGTTATGTTAGTCAATTTTTTTGTTTTATGCTTATTTTTTCCCTGCTTTACTACCAACTTGCTTTAGATCAGCTTTCTTTGTATCTTTTAGGGTTTTTTGATCTTTCGGTGCTTTTTTGGGATCATTCAGCATTCATTTGTAAACTTTTACTAATCTTTTGAAATTAGTTGAACTTTCTCGTGGACATTCTTCTGGTCTTTTGATGTTTTGTTGAACTTTCTGTAGTTTTTCGGCATTTCATTAGCACACTTTCCCGTGGACTGCCCTTTGGTCTTTTTATGTTTTATGGTAAACTTTCTTGTCTTTCAATATTTTATGATAAACTTTCTTGTCTTTCGACGTTTTATGATAAACTTTCTTGTCTTTTGACATTTTATGATAAACTTGTCTTTAACCTTTCAGCATTTTTGATGAATTTTCTGTGAACTTTCAGCATTTTCTGATGGAACTTTCTTGTGAACTTTCAGTGTTTCTTGTTGAATTCTTTTGTGGACCTTTGGTGTTTTTTGACAAATTCTCTTGTGAACTTTCGACATTTTCTGATGGAACTTTTTTGTAAACTTTTGGTATTTTTCTTGTGAACTTTCAGCATTTCTTGGAGTAAACTTTCAGCGTTTCTTGGTGAATTCTCTTGTGGGCCTTTGACATTTTCTGATGAACTTTCTTGTGGATCTTTGGAATTTCTTGATAATTTTCTTGTGGATTTTCAGCATTTCTTGATGAATTCTCTATTTCTTTGGTAAATTCTCTTGTGGATTTTTGGTGTTTCTTCCTTGGTGAATTGTCTTGTGGAATTTCAGCATTTCCTGGTAAATTCTCATGTGGATTTTTGGTGTTTCTTGGTGAATTCTCATGTGAACTTTCTGATGTTTTTTGATGAATTCTTTTGTGAACTTTCTGCATTTTCTGGCGAACTCTCTTGTGGATTTTCGGCGTTTCTTGATAATTATCTTGTGGACTCTTGATGAATTCTTATGTGGACTCTTGGCACTTCCTAATAAATTCTTTTTGGACTTTCGGTATTTTCTCTTGTATACTTTTAGCGCTTCGTAGTGAATTTTCTTGTGGGTGTCTGATGTTTTCTAGTGAATTTTTTTTAAACTTTTGGTGTTTCTTGTGAATTCACTTTGGATTTTTGGCATTTTTGGTGAATTCTTTTGTGAACTTCTGTGTTTTCTGATGAATTCTCTTATGGACTTTCAGTATTTCCTGATGAATTATCTTGTGGGCATTCAGCACTTCCTAGTAAACTCTCTTGTGAACTTACTGCATTTCTTGGTGAATTTTCCTGTAAACATTTTCTGGTGAATTCTCTTGTTGACCTTTAGGTTTCCTGATGAACTCTCTTGTGGACTTTTGGCATTTCTGGTGAGTTCTCTTGTTGATCTTTGGCATTTTTTGATGAACCCTTTTGCGGACTTTTAGCATTTCCTAGTAAATTTTCTTGCAATTTTTAGCCTTTTTCGAATTTTTATGTAAATTTTTATTTTTATTATTTATTTTTTTTTTACTGTTTTTGTTTTTGTTTTTCCTTTTTTTTTAAAAAAAGTAAAGTTATGGTCGATTCTTTAACCTACACTCTGGCGATGAATGATTTTTTTTTTTTTTTTTTTTTTTGCAAATAAAAGTTTAGGTCAATTCTTGTTTGCATCAATTTTCTTTATGTTTTGCATTTAGAAGACTTTCAATTTAATAAATTGAGATTTTATTTATTGATCTTTAAAAATTTTTTTAAATCAGATTTCAGGTGTTTTATAATAGTTAAAATTATGTTATATAGTGTGTACCATTTCAGTATAGCAAAGGCAGTGCTCGATCTAAAGTGTGTCCCTCTCCCCTGTGATCAATCACAAATTAAATTATTTATTTTGGATTCAATTGTGATAGATACAATTCCTCACCAGTTTTAATATACATGTAATATTAACAGTCTCTGCTGTTTTATTTCAGTCATTAAAAACACATCTAGAAAGATGCATGAGACACTTATAATTACAAATGCATTGTGCATACTCAGTTATAAATATATACATTTATTATATAAATAAAAATAATTATTATAAATATAATTATAATAAATTTCATAAAAATAATAATAATCTTAATAATAATAATTATTATTACAAATAAAATAATAATAATTGATTCCTTTTAAATAACAATTGTTAGTAATATATATAAAGTGAAAATAAGACAACTTGAAATTAATTTCTTAGCTTTCAGAATATTACAGTTATTTCTATAAATTCCAGAATAACTGAAAATTTTCTGATGATCGAATTGATTAGTTATCGAGTCAGAATCAATACTATACTACCTCAAATAATGCCTGAGGTGTTATTTTAAGCTAATATAGTAAGTTGCCAACATCGACCAGCATCAAAAGCTTATTGATTCGAGTTTGCCATAGTGACCTTCAAAAGTATGGGATACATAAACTGGACCATCACCATAGCCATATTCTAATAACCAGTAGTATATTACTTTTTTATATTATAAAGCTGCATGAAAAAGCTAGACCATTCACAATTTTTTAAGAAATTATGCAGTGACTGTAGTGTCTTGTGCTTTTGGGGTCATGTTAGTAAACTCTATTAATCCAGTCATCAACAATTTTTCAAGTATCCCAGATTGCAGCTAATTTCATTATTCAAGGAACAACTTGAAAATTGCTGAGATCAGAATCGATAAATTACTGACTTTGAATTGATAAGTTACTAGCATTGGTCGATATCAGAAATTTATCGATTTGGTTATCAATAATTTTTCAGTTGTCCCAGTAATATTACAGCTGTTTTCATAAATTCTGTGACATCTAAAAAAATTTGCCAATGATAATTTCATTAAGTTATTGATTTAGGTGTTCTTTGGCCTATAAGAAGTCAATGCACATATGCACGAAATTTTAAGTACAGCACAAAACTAACACCAGTAAAAAATTATATTTTAACAAAATAATAACCAGAAATATATAGTACAAATTTTAACTTATTTACTATATATTTACTAGGTAATATATGTATTTTAACATATTTTTAGTTTATATGCTTAAATACATATATTATCTAGTAAATATATAGCAAATAAGTTAAAATTTGTACTATATATTTCTGGTTATATTTTAACCAGTATAAATTTCATATAAACATATGTGAGACAGTGCACTGAACAGCACATCTAAAGAATATTACAGAAATTAAATTATTTTCAATACATGTAGTGTGCAGTAATTAAATTACATATCTAATTCTATATAAATACCTTCTATAGGTGCACATCCTCTCTAAATGCACACTCAAATTCAGGCCCAACTATATACAGTAGTCTTTATAAGTGCATGATCTTGGGACCAAACTTTAATATTATGCACTTAGAGAACTATAAGAAAAAGTTGCTTATAATAGTCACATATATAGTTGGACCCGAATTTGGGTATGAATCTAGAGAGGGTGTGCACTTACAGAGGTTTCACTATATATTATGGAATACTGAAAAACACTGAAATCAATAACTGATCGAATTTGGCCGAAATTATCATTGTGAATTTTTTGAGGTGTCTCAGAGCTTATAAAAGCAGCTGTAAAATATCCATCTGGTATTATTAAAAATATAGTATGTAAAAAAATTTTTAAGATTTAACCTAGCTGAGTTATGAAGTAACTAAGACATTAATTTTGTTGTCCTAAATAAAAAAAAATAGACAAAACTTTTATACAAACCATTTTTGCGATATTAACAGTAATGCCAACATTATATTTTATTCGAACTACTATCTTTAGTAAAATATATATATTAGATGCCTCTTAGAGTGCTTATATCATTTATAAAATGAATCAGAATTCATTTCATATCAATTCGAATACAACTCAGATTTATTCTTTTACTAGCAACTTGAATGGTTCAATTAATATCCATCTACAAGAGATAAAAAATATATTAAATTTTAATATAGTAAAAAAAAAAATTTGTCAAATAAAAACTATATTTACTATAATTTTACAAAGTAATTTCCAACCTCTAGTTAAAATAAGAATAATTTAATTAGAGAAAGGTACAGTTTATCACATTACTTATATAGTAAGAAGTTGTAACTACCGTTGCCCTTATATAGATTCCAAAATTAACCAATTAAAATACATAATCGATTCGCTATCCGTTCGCACTATGAAAGTTATTTGTACAGTAAAGCCTCTATAAGCGTACGCACTTGGAACCAAACTTAATATTGTGCACTTAGAGAACTATAAGAAAAAGTGCACATATAAAGGTCACATATATAGTTGGACCTAAATTTGAGTGTGCATTTAGAGAGGATGTGCACTTATAAAAGGTGCACTTACAGAGGTTTCACTGTACTTGCATTTTATAATGTTAAGCAAAAAATAAATAAAATAGTATAAAAAAATAGAGTAATACTTATATGACTATAGTAATTTACCTGGGTAATTTAAATATCCAAATTGAAGTTTTCTTAACAGGTAATTCTTTAAGTTGGATTTCATATTAATCATTTTCACTTACTTATAAAATCTGTCGAATAAATAAAGGTTTAGTAAATTTAAATCAAGCATTTATACATTTTATATATAGAATATAAAATTTATACCAAACTCAACAATCATATAAATATTCACCAATTCCACATATGTTAACAAATCTATAGTATAATGTTAAATGACATACTTAGTCATCACATTACCATAACTTACTGTAACTTATTGTAACTATAGTAAGTAATATAGTAGTTTACAGCTATAAGGCCGTAACTTACGATATTACTATAGTTACAGTAAGTTATGGTAATGTGACAACTATCATTAGGATGATTCTACCACATTACTAGTTGGTATATATGATAAAAAATTAGATAAGTCATTTAAAATATTTTTATAAAAAATAACACTTACATTAGTCATTAATAGACATGATGAAATTAGCTTCACCAATATATAAATATTTTCATAAAGCAAGTTATTACACAACAACATAGCAACTTTACTTAAACTTCATAACAATATTAATATATTAAATATCTAAAGATTATTTGGGGATACCCACAACCAAAGCAGGGATGGAACTACATAATATATACAGTAAAATCTCTATAAGTGCACACCCTCTCTAAATACACACTCAATTTGGATCCAACTATATATATGACCTCTATATGTGCTCTTTTTCTTATAGTTCTCTAAGTGCACAATATTAAGTTTGGTCTCAAGTGCGTGCACTTATAGAGACTTTACTGTAGTCCCATCCTCTGCTTTTTCTATAAGCATTTCTATTTGTGAAATTAGAACTAAGCAAGCCACTAAAAATAGCAATTTTTCTACTATTAAATTTGGCATATTAAATATTTCTCTATCTTGGTATACTTTCAACAGGAATGATATTAATCTACTGAAATATTTAAAATCTTCTTTACGCTCATATACTAAATTATTGCGAAGACTTGAATATCTAATAAATGTTCTTTATATTCACATCTAAATTAATACGATTAAATATATAAAAATGTAATTAATGTATAAAGACTTTTAATAATAAAAATTCAATTTGAGATCCAATATAAGAATATATCTACAACTAGCATTAGAAAAGGTCTTATTGTAATACTTTACCTAAAATAATTAATATTAAAGAATGAACTAATTTAAGATAAGTTATTTTACAACTAAAAAAATTTCTCAATCTATTATATAAAAATTATATATAGTATAAATTTATAAAAAAAAATAATATATAATGTATTTATCTGTGAATCTTTCAAATGCTAAATCACAGTTAAGTTATATTTCACTTACTAGAAATATTTTAGATCCAAGAAATTAACAGAACTAAAGTATATGTACTTATGTAGATCAAATCAATTTATAATAACAGGAACATTACATTACACAAGAATATATATTGATAAAAAAAATAAAAAATATTGTTTCTAAATATATTTCTACTAAATATAGAAATATAAAAAAGATTATTCACATTAATAAATACTATCCAAGTATTTTTCATTTCTCTTTAAAAACATTAATCGTTTAAATAACATAGAACTTATACGAGTTCTTTTTTCAGTTATTAAGTTTCCTGCTTCAGAAAACAACCTTTCACTAGTTGTTGAGGATGCAAAAACAGATAAATATTTTTTTGCTAGGCTGCTCAAAACTGGAAATTTATTTTGCCGTTCATGCTACCACACAAAAAGATCATACTTGAAATCAATTTCCTCAAGCTTTAAATAGTCAGAAATTTCTTCAACTGTACTTGATGTATGTTTTTTAAAACTTGAAAGAATGCT